TTTCCCCGAAAATAAGACATCCTCCGAAAATAAGACCTAGCGCAACTTTGGGAGAAAAAATTAATATAAGACACTGTTTTATTTTGGGGGAAACAGGGTACTAGCAGTGAGTGTCTCTGAAAAAGGAACTCATAGGCAAAACAGGGAAATTGAAAGCTCTGTACAAAAAAACAAAAACAAAAACAAAAAACCCAAAACATCACACAGAGAAAAACCAAAAACATTTAAATGAGGAAATGAGAAAAAAAACAAAAAACAAAAAACAAAAACACCCAAATCGACAGTTTACAGAAATAAAAGGGGCCTCCAATACACCCAAACCCCACGGAAATGTCCCCAGGGGCGTTAGTCATCAGAGACAAGCAAGCTAAACCCATGAGATGCCTTTGCCCCCCGCAGGGTAGCTAAAACCAAGGGGTGGGGACTTGATGAGGTGGCTGAGAAGGTGACTAGGACACTGGAATTCACTGGTATGAACTGATACCGTCACTCTGCTTGCTTGATTGTTTAAGATTTTAAAAAATTGATTTTCAGAGAGAGGGAGGGAGTAGGGAGAGAGAAACATCAATGTGAGAACTGAACATCCATGGGCTGCCTTCTGCACACCTCTGACCAGGGTTCCAGCCAGCAACCCAGGCACATGCCCTGACTGGGAACTGAACTGGTGACCTTTTGGTGCACAAGACGCCGCCCGACCCACTGAGCCTTACCAGCCAGAGGCATGTGATCCCTTTGAAAAATGTTTGGCGTTTCCCACAAGAGTCGAATCGCACAGCATCAGCAAAATAATTACACGCCCAGATTTACACGGAGTGGCCAGATGATGATGATCTCTGAACGCATAATAATCTGGCCACTCCGTGTATAGCCTATAGAATAAAAGGCTAATAGGCAAATTGTCCCCTTGACCAGGAGTTCGACCAGCAGGCAGGCCAGCCAACTGCCCATGTTCCTTAAGGGTCCCAGGTTCGATTCCGGTCAAGGGCATGTACCTTGGTTGTGGACACATCCCCAGTGGGGGGTGTGCAGGAGGCAGCTGATCCATGTTTCTCTCTCATCGATGTTTCTAACTCTCTCTCCCTCTCCCTTCTTCTCTGTAAAAAAAAAAAAAAAAATCAATAAAATATATTTTTAAAAAATAATTAAAAGCATGTAGTGAGTGAAATAACCAAGACTTTGTAACCAGAGAGGAAGGATTGCATTCTGTAAACTTAAAAGCAGTTACCACTAACTAAAATAAATAAATAAATAAATAAATAAATAAATAAATAAATAAATAAAAAATTTGGTGCTGCCCTCACTGGTGTGGCTCAGTGAATAGAGTGACGGCCTGCAGACTCAAGGGCATGTACCTTGGTTGTGGGCACATCCCCAGTGGGGGGTGTGCAGGAGGCAGCTGATCGATATTTCTCTCTCACCGATGTTTCTACCTCTCTATCCGTCTCCCTTCCTCTTTGTGAAAAATCAATAAAATATATTTTTAAAAATTAAGTGTCGCTAGGAGTTCAGCAAGAGATAAAACCACACCGTGCCCAGGTGGGAGTTGGGCTGCCCCCCAGTGAGGCCCTGATTGGAAGAGGGGGTGCCTGGCACGGCTCCTGTCCAGGAAGCGGGGCCCCTTGCTGGGCCCCACCCTGGGAGGCTTGGGGACTCGCCCAGGATGGGGTGGAAAGCCACTTCCTGAGGTCCGATTTCTGCCGAGGCCGCGGGCGCACCACATCCTGCGCGCTTGTCTGCGGGGCCGCCTCCTGCGCTGGTTCGGAGCAGCCCAGACGCTTTGCACCCGCCGCGCCCGCCGGTGGCCTCCTACGTGTCTCCGGGAGTCCAGGGGACGCAGGGAGGAGGGGGTGCTGCTGGAAAAAACCCTGCCCTGAGCACGTGGCCCTGCACCCCACGAGGCTGCGTGGGAACCCGTGGGGAGCTGAGCCCGCCTGCGAGCACCGCCCAGTGCAGGCCGTGCTGGGCCGGGTGCCCGGTCCCCCGAGGCTGGCCTCAGACCCAGATGGGTGCGCCGTAGTGAGGTCTTCCTTCCTGGTTCCATCGAGGCCGGAAGACCCCGACACAAGTGGGTGAGTCCACCTCTGACCCCCTAACCCCACCCCTCCACCCCGAGGTTGCTTTCCGGGCTGGGCGCACAGGTTTGGGGACGTGGGGAGGAGAAGGGGCTCACCCGGATGGCTGGGAGTGAGAGGGGGGGAGACAGCGGGGGTTGCCTGTGAGTCTCCTGTAATCGCCAGGACACAGAGACCCCCCTGGGCCTGGTGGGACCAGACCCTGTCCTGGAGAGCCCACTGCAGACGCCCCCATTTCGGAACGCTCAGGAACAGGAGGTCTTTGCTCCCTGGCGGAGCGTCCACCCCAGGAACCAGGAGGTCACAGTTGGGATTTCCCGGTTAAGGGCACCTGCCCGGGTTGCAGGCTCCATCCCCAACATGAGGCATGCAGGAGGCAGCGGATCCGAGATTCCCTCTCATCATGGGTGTTTCTCTCTCTCTTTCTCTCTCTCTCTCCTATCTCTCTCTCTCCTCTCTCCTCTCTCTTCTCTCTCTCTGCCCCCCTTCTCTCTCTCTCCCTTTCTCCCTCTCCCTCTCTCCCCTCTCCTCCCTCTCTCATCTCCCTCTCTCCCTCTCTCTCTCTCTCTTTCTCTCCTCTTCCTCTCTCCCTTCTTCCCTCTCCCCTCTCCTTTCTCTCTCTCTCTCTTTCTCTCTCTCTCTCTCTCCTCTCTCTTTCTCCTCTCTCCTCTCTCCCCTCTCTCTCTGCCCCCCCTTCTCTCTCTCTCCCCCCCCTCTCCCTCTCTCCCCTCTCCCTCTCCTCCCTCTCTCATCTCCCTCTCTCCCTCTCTCCCTCTCTCCCCTCTCCCCTCTCCCCTCTCCTCTCTCCCCTCTCCCTTCTCCCCTCTCCCCTCTCTGTTCTCTCTCACTTCCTCTCTGACATCAATAAAAATCTATTTTTACAAAAGGGAAGTAGGACTCTGAGGAGCTGCTCTGTGCCGGAGGGCCAGACCCAGGTCAGCAGCATGCAGACGGGCCCCGGGTCCACCCACGGGCTGCGCCCGCCGCCGGTCTGTCCGTGGGGGTGGGGGGGTCATGACCCCATCGCAGTCCCCCCGAGGAGGGCCACTCAGCCTAGGGGTGTCTCCATATGCCAAGCCTTCTGATGCAAACACCTCTTTCTCCTTAGAGTTGAGTTGCGATTAGCTTAGGACATTGTGAAATTTTAAAGTGAACGGTATCTGATGTGCTTCGATTGCAATAGAGTTGCCATTGCAGGGCACGGATCCCTCTCCGACCCCGGCCCTGCCCATTCTCCCAGCAGCCATGGGGGGCCAAGGCGGTGCCACCCCCAGGCCCAGCTCCCTCAGTCTCTCTCCTGACCCTTCCATCCCATCAGGTCACCCTACCCTCTCCTGTTTCCGTTGCCACTGGAGGAATGGGAAGAGAACTCTTGTTAGCAGGATATATATATATATATATATATATATATATATATATATATATTTAAAATTATTATTAACTAGAGGCCCGTTGCATGATATTCGTGCAAGAATAGGCCCCTGGCTGGGAGCTGGCAAGTCCTTCCTTCTGTCTGGAGCACCACTCCTCTGTCCCCTCTTCCCCTCACAGCAAGCTTCACATGCTCTGCATATGCAAACTAACCCCCATCTTTGTTGGGTTAATCTGCATACTCACTCTGATTGGCTGTGGGCTTAGTGGAGTGATGGTTAATTTGTATGTTTCTCTTATTAGGTAAGATTTCAGAGAGGAAGGGTGAGAAATAGAAACATCGATGATAAGAATCATGGATTGGCTGCCTCCTGCACGCTCCCCCCCCCCCATCCTCCTCCCTCCCCCTCCTTGGGGCCCTTCAGTCTGCAGGCCGATGCTCTATCCACTGAGTCAAACCGTGTAGGGCTAGGGCAGAAGGATACGTGTTTGTTTATATTTAAAAATTTTTGTTGTTGTTGTTGTTAATCCTCACTCGAGGATATTTTTTCCATGAATGTTGTTAGAGAGAGGGAAAGTGAGGGGGTAGGGGAGGGAGAGAGAGAAATATCGATGTGAAAGGGACACAAGGATGGGTTGCCTCCCACATGCACCCCAACCTGGGCTGGGGATGGAATCAGCAGCCTCCTGCACACCCCACGCTGGGGATGGAGTCCCCAACCGGGGCCTGTGCCCTTGGCCGGGAATCGAACCCTGACCTCCTGGTTCCCAGGTGGATGCTCACCCACCAAGCCCTGCCCCGGCTGAGCTGGGAGTGTAGCCTGTCCTCACACACATGGAGGGAGAGGGCAGGTTCCCCATTTTCTTTCTTTAAAAAAAAATATAGTTTATTGATTTTTTACAGAGAGGTAGGGGGAGGGATAGAGAGTTAGAAACATTGATGAGAGAGAATCATCGATCAGCTGCCTCCTGTGCACCCCCCACCGGGGATGTGCCCGCAACCAAGCTACATGCCCTTGACGGGAATCGAACCTGGGACCTTCCAGTCGCAGGCCGACGCTCTATCCACTGAGCCACACCGGTTTTGGCAGGCTCTCCATTTCTCATATGAGGCCGTGGCCGTGTGAGGTGGAGTAACTAGCGCCTTGCACAAGCCCAGGGGGTCCGTTAGTGATGCTGGAACCCGCAGCCGGGGGTTGGTCTGAGGTCAGCTGGCTGCACAAACCCACGCAGGGCCTCGTCCCGCAGGTCGGAGGCAGGTCCACGCTCAGGGCTCATCCCCAGGTGAGCTCAGTCCCCCCATCGCAGGTGGGAGGCTGTGGCGGGCGGGCGGGGGGGGTGGTGAGAATTAGGAGGGAGGGAGAGACGGCTGGGGAAGCCACAGCCCTCCCCTTCTCTAGCAGGAAGGCCTGGAGGGAGGTCTTCTTCCCCTTTGGACAGAGACGTTGATGTAGCAACGACGGGAGCGCCTGACACACACATCCTGTGCCCTGTGCCAGCTGTGGGCTCTGCCCTCCCACTCCTGACTCCAGGGCTGCGCAGGCTGCAGGGCTGGCCATGGGCCCCCGGCCCTCCACCCTCCTGGGCATCGGTGAGTCCCAGATGGAGGGACCGCATCCCAGGGGCTGAGGGGGTGGTGGCTGGGGGAGGCGTCTCCATCCCTGCTCAGTCTGACCCCAGCCCAGGAGACTCTTGGTCCCTCCTGGGGGCCTGGCCCCTCAGCGCTGGCCCTGACCTAAGTGTGACCAGGGGAGGGTCAGTCCTAGAGGCAGGGGCCCGGTCGTGGGGACAGGGTTCTGACTGAGGACCCGATTGGAAGAGGGGGGTGGGGTTGGTCTGGAAACCCAGAGCAGGAAGCAGGATTGTGCTCAGAGGGGATGCTGAGGAGGGAGCCTGAGAGATTCTCCAGGCCGGGCCCGCTGCCTCCAGGAAGGCCTCCTGATTGCAGCCCAGAGAGGACCCGGGTGCTGGGCGTTGTCCTCACCAGCCCTTCCCTTGCAGTGCTCTGTCTGGGCCAGATGATCCACACGCAGGAGGGTGAGTCCCCTTTTTAAATGGAGTATTTCACACGTTTCATGTTCAGGCAAAATATTGATTTTCCTTAGAGTCCTCTCCTGTGTGTCTTCAGCTGGAATGAGCCTGAGCCTCTCTCCTTGTCTGCATCTGTCTGTCCTCACACCCTCTGGCTAAGTGACCTTCAGAAACCCAGCCTTCCTGTCACTTCCACAAACTCCATGTTCTGTCTCTACCATGACCCCCTCCCAGGCTGAGGGCTCCTGTAGCTCAGCTTACCTTATTCATATTTGGCCTTTGGTCTCAGCTCAGGGCCTCTCTCCTCTGCCTCTGAGGAGAGGTCAGCTCTGCCCTCCTCACCCTGAGCCTACACACTCAACCTGACACCCCCATACTCACCCTGAGCCCCCACACTCACCCTGAGCCCCAACACTCACTGGGATGCCTTGAGCCCCACCCTGAGCCCCAACACTCACCCTGAGCCCCCACACTCACCCTGAGCCCCCACACTCACCCTGAGCCCCCACACTCACCCTGAGCCCCAACACTCACCCTGAGCCCTCACACTTACCTTGAGCCCCCACACTCACCCTGAGCCCCCACACTCACCCTGAGCCCCCACACTCACCCTGAGCCCCCACACTCACCCTGAGCCCCAACACTTATCTTGAGCCCCCCCACACACCCTGAGCCCCCACACTCACCCTAAGCCCCCACACACACCCTGAGCCCACACACACACCCTGAGCCCCCACACTCACCCTGAGCCCCCACACTCACCCCGAGCCCCCACACTCACCCTGAGCCCCCACACTCACCCTGAGCCACCTCTCTCCTTCCGCCTTTGAAGGCAGAGGTTCTCCTGTGTTTCTCCTGTTTGTGGGGCCAAAGACACAAGGAGGCATCTATAAAGGGGAGGCAGGAGCTGAGCTGTGGCTGACGGAATGAGGGAAGGAGGGAAGGAGGGAATGAGTGGTGGGGGTGGCCAGCTCTGTCTCTCAGGGATTGGGTAACTGGGATGCCTTCTTCCTGTTTCAGGGCCAGAGCCCTCTCTTCCCCTCCCCACCCACTTTAGACACGTGGGGTTGCAGGAGCCTCAGTCACAAGGAAGGGGAAACGGGCTGAGAGGGAGGTGGGGAATGCAGAGGGAACCTCAGTGAGTGCTGCTCAGAGGACGAGCCCAGGGGTTAGGGGTTCTCACCCACTCGGGTTCTGTGCGGAGGTCTGAGCTGCAGCTGCACCCCCAAACCCACCAGACTTCCCATGGGGCCCTGCATCCCCTATTGTTCCCCACAATCTCCCCCATCTGCCTGCAGACCCGGCCAGGCCACTCCCACCATCTCAGACTCCGGCGTCCCTGTGCCCACGAGTGACCCGCTCATCTTCACCCTCTGCCCCCCTCCCAGCCCTGTCTGTCCCCCTGGAGAGTGGCCGTGGGGACAGCTGCTCTGACAGGTCCCCGGTCCCTTGAGGAAAGCCCATGAGGCCACCAGATCTTGGTTAGTGTCAGGTGGGGAAGTCACTGGATGATGAGAACTCAGTCCCCTGGAGGGGGCAGAGAGCGTGGTCTCTTGGGAAAGGGGTGGTGAAATGGCTTAAAATTAGATTGCAGACATAGTTGCACAGCTCTGCAAGTTTGCTAAGAACATTAACGTGCACTCTTGAAACACGGGCGGCGTGAGGTTAGAGATTTCCTCGCGATGGAACCTGAGATCCTGCTTTGCTTCCTCCCAGGGGCCCTGCCCAAGCCCTCCCTCAGGGCCGAGCCAGGCCCTGTGATCCCCCGGGGACGGCCTGTGACCTTGGTGTGCCAGAGCCCAGCTGGGGCTAGGTTATTCCGCCTGGAGAAGGATGAAAGACAAGTAGTCTCTGATCAGGAAAGTGTGTCTCAAGATGGTCGGCAGGGGACAGAGGCCAGATTCCTCATGCACGCTGTGAATGAACACACTGCGGGGAGTTACCGCTGCCTCTACAACCAAGGACCTAATAACTGGTCTGAGCTCAGTGAGCCCCTGCAGCTGCAGGTGACAGAGGAGGACGTCTCCACTCGGCCCCCAGGTGAGTCCCAGGGCCCCGCATCCTGTCCCAGCCACATCTCTGCCCTCGGGCTCCTGCCCTCCTGCTCACCCCCATTCCTGGGGCTCCCCTCCCCCTGCACACAGGACTCGGCCGTCACCCCTGGCTCAGGGCCCTGGTGTCTGGTCCCATCTGGACACCACGGTGGCCTGGACCCTGAGCCCCGCCTCAGAGGGGACACAGAGCTGTCCCTGCTGGGCTGGGTGGGGCCTGAGCTCCCAGCCACCAGGTGGGCACAGACCCCTTCAAAGGGCCCTGAGTCCTTCCCCTGGCCAGGCTCTGAGGGGCCCAGGCAATGTGTCCCCTGGGGTCCTCCCTCCATGGGCAGGTGGCATGGTCTGGGGGGCATGGCCAGGGTGGGCGGTGCCCTGAGGGATTTGGGGTTTGAAGCTGACCTTCCCTGTGTGTGGTCAGTCCCCAATACCTCCTGGACTCAGGGCCCATCAGGGACCACCCCCCCCATGTCCTGGGCCTCATGGGAGCTGCTCCCTGAGGTTCTGGGAGGCAAGAGCTGCTGGCTCATCTCCTCTCCTACCCCCCCAGCCCCCCAGCTCAGGTGCCATCTGGGATTGAGTGATGGACAGACGTGGCTGTGAGTGGTGGACACTCAGGGTGGAGGGGGGCCAGAATGTGTGGGAGGAACCCAGGCAGCCCCCACAGAACATCAGCCCTTTCCCTGCCCTGTTCACAGGAGCCGCCCCAGTTCCCAGCTCCACCCCCAGCTCCACCCCCAGCTCCACCCCCAACACACACACAGAGACCCACTCCTCAGGTGGTGAGTAGAGACCTCAGCTTGGAGGGGTTTCGGAAGGGGGCTCAGTGCTGGGTCTCAGACTCCATCCTCCCAACTCTAGTGGGGAGAATTAATTAGAATAAACAACAAGAAATGCACATCCTATATAATAAAAGGCTAATATGCAAATAGACCGAACGGTGGAACAACCGGTTACTATGATGGGCACTGACCACCAGGGGGCACACGCTCAACACAGGAGCTGCCCCCATGTGGTCAGTGCACTCCCACAGGCTCATGGCTGGCGAGCACAGTGGTGGTGGCAGTCTGACATCCCCTGAGGGCTCCCCGACTGCGAGAGGGTGCAGGCTGGCTGAGGGAAACCCCCACTGAGCGCACAAATTTCATGCACTGGGCCTCTAGTATGTCCATATGGGCAAATATCTATACTAATAATAGAGGAATATGCAAATTGTCTGCGATGCTGTCACAGTAACAGTAACAAACAAAGAGCAGGCTGCATGGGGCGACCAGACTGGCAGGGGGTCAGTTTGAGGAAACCAGGCTGAAGGGGGTGGAGGGGGAGAAGAGAAGTTGGGGGCAATGAGGCTGGCAGGGGGGCAGTTAGGCATCAATCAGGCTGGCAGGAGAGTGGTTAGGGGGTGATCAGGATGGCAGACAGAAGCGGTTAGGGGCAATCAGGAAGGCAGGCAGGCAAGCATTAGGAGCCAGCAGTCTCGGATTGTGAGAGAGATGTCAGACTGGCGGATTAGGCCCAATGTGGGATTGGGTCTAATCTGGCAGTTTGACATCCCCCAAGGGGTCCCAGATTGAAGACAGTGCAGGCCAAGCTGAAGGACCCCCCCCCCCCATGCACAAATTTCATTCCCAAGGCCACTAACAAATATGCAACTTACAAGGTAAAGTTTCAGATCTATAATTTATGTTAGTGTATATAGTTGATTATACATTAACTATGTCAATACTATGATTGATATAATAAGCACCTTACAAATGAATATTATGATAAATTATATCATGTATTACTACAATCAATATATGCAAATGTGAACATAAATACGCACCATGCGTTATATAATAACATGTATAATTGATATATGATATCTTACATAGTATAAGTTCTTTTAAATTTATCTTTTTAAATATTTATGTAGTTCAAATTATACAGGCATAAATGAAATCGCATAATTTTAAGTATACACGTACACCCACTATAGAGTATAATTACTTAATTTTGTTATAAAGAGGTCACGTTACACATAGTACATATATGATGCACATATGGCGTATACATCTAAGTGTAAATTGTGCTAAATGCCTTAAAAGGAAGGACAGGTGGTGGTGTGTGGAACAGGGGTGGGTCCTGGGTCCTGGGTCCTGCGTCCTGGGCTGTCTCAGGTGTCCAGGAGGGAAGACCAGGCAGGGGAAGTCTCCTGCTTTCTTAAGGGATGTGGGGACATGGGGGTGCCGCTGCTCCAGAAGAGGAAACAGGGGATTCACACCTTGTGCGTGAACCAGCCCTGGGACCTCAGTCTGATCACCTGTGAAATGGGCGGCACTGTGTGCGTGCGCAGAGCAGGTGCCTGGTAACAGGTGGGATGAACACACAGTGCATGTGCCAAGCCCAGACCAGGGCCAGGGGACCAGGACCCGTAGTGTGCCTCGTGGGGAAGGAAAAGAATGGGCTTGGGTGCTGGCCACACCTTAGCTCTGTCGACATCCTGTGGACAGAGGGCGTCCACACTCAGGACCCTGGTTTAGTAAAATGAGGATGATGGGTCCCTGCCGGGGTTCTTGTTTCAGCATTAAGAAGGGTTCAGCATTCTGGAGAAAGGCTGTGTGTAGATTAAGTAGGAGTCCAGAGATGAAAGATAATTTTGAAAGGCATTGGGGGTCAGAGGAACCTGGCTGAAGAAACCAGATTCTCCTTGACTCAGGACCCCTTGCTTTTTATTAACACAAATTGTCCTAAGGCAAGGTGGAGATAATACACTTCAGAGGGTAGGGTGTACAGAAGCATTGTCAGATTGGGGAATAGCCCACAGCTGTTCAGGTCTCCGGCCAACATGGAGGCAATCACATGTAGACTGAGAAGCCCTGAGCTGTCTGGCAGCAAACACTCATCCTATTCAGGTTTGGGGGAAGTGCCTTTCAGCCATTCCCACAGGTGATTACATATGTGTCTCAGTCCTTGTTGAGCCCCCAAGCTTCATCAACCTTTTGATGAAACTCTTGCAGTTATGACATGCTGGGATTGGCTTCCGGCAGATCCCATGCCACAGGACTACCAGGCTTGTAGGAGATTAGATACATCAGTGTGAACAGGACAGGCACCCAGCATATGCATGGTTTGCAGTTGGTGCTCCATACATGCATCCTGTGGATACTGTGGTTCTATCTTCACTGCCCTTCCAGGCCTGTCGAGCACATACATTTACATCCTTGTTGGGACCTCCGTGGCCTTTCTCCTTTGTGTCCTCCTGCTGGTCCTCTTCTTAGTTCACCGTCAGCATCAGAGAAAACACAGTAGGTCTCAGGGTCAGGGTGGGGTGACCTGGGAAGGCTGTGTGGAGTGCTGGGGAGATGGCCTCCCTCCTAATTCCCACCCTGATTGTCCTCAGAGCCCCTCCACAGCAAAGGCGAGGAGCAGAGGCCCCAGGAAAGGTGAGGACCCCGGAGAGAATGACCCATGGACACCCCACCGGGGTCTCTGCCTCCAGAGCACCCCACCTCCACCTCCACCTCCACCCCGTACTCTCTTGTTTTTCTCCTCAGGCTCAATCCGGCTGCTGACATAACAGTGAGCACACCAGGTAAGGGATAAGGGAAGTAACTGCTTGGGGTAAGGGGAGTGGCATTGAGCCCATTGAGGAAGCAATGAGGAGGGGGCAAGATGACTGGATGTTGCAGCTGGAGGTTGAGACCTAAACCCGTGAGGTTTCAGGCAAATTTCACCCCAAAGATCTGACTGTTGTTCTCTTCTCCCTCAGATGAGGCCACAGTCTATGCACTTTCTGAGAAGAAGAGGGAGCTGCAGAGCCCAGTAAGTCCTTGGATTAGTCACCTATTTCTGTGTAACCACGTCATGTCCCATCGTTGTTGTTTTTTTTTTTGTTTGTTTGTTTGTTTTTTTAATACTCACCTGAGGATATATCTTCATTGATTTTTCAAGAAGAGTGGAAGGGAGAAAGGGAGAGGGAGAAAGAGAGAAACATGGATGTGACAGAGACGGGCTTCCACCAGGGCTTCCACCAGGGCGGGATTGAACCTGTGACCCTTTGTTCTATAACCAACGCTCTAACCATGGGAAACACCAGCCAGGGCCAAAGTTCCTTGACTTGAACAGCTTCACACAAGTATCTCAGTTTCTTGGGCTGGAATTTGGAAGCAGATTGAATCTGCTGGGTGGTTCTGGCTCACGGACTCTCAGGAGGCTGCTGTGATGACGATGGGCTGCATTCATCTGAAGGTTGGACTGGGGCTGCAGGTCCACGTGCAAGATGGCACCCTCTTAGTCTGTGGGCGGGAGGCCTCTGTTCCTCCACATGTGGGGTTCTCCTTGGCAGCCACCTCCCTCAGACGGCAGGGCCCCAGGGAGGGAAGACAGAAGCCCAATGTGTCTGGAGGCCTCTCCATGGAGGTGGCATGCTCTCCCTCTGTCATATCCCCCAACTCTGATTCTATGGGGAAGGGAACTCCACAATGGAGATTCGGGAGGTGGGACCACCGGGGCCACCTGGAAGCCGGCCACCATAATCTGTCCTTCCCACAGCTCCCCCCCCCCTTTGTCCCCCACACACTAACCCACCTGGCTCTCTCCCTCAGAGCCCTGCTGCGGGAGACGCCCAGGAGGTGACATACGCCCAGCTGGACCAGCGGGCCCTCACCCTCAGAGCAGGCCAGGCTGTGTCCCCACCGCCCGTGGAGTCCACAGCTGCTGCCAGCACATACGCAGAACTCCCCAGACGCTGACTCGGACCCCTGGCCTCTGCACCTACAGACACACGCCACTCTTTTTTATTTTTAATTAACTTCTTTATTGTTTAAAGTATTACATGAGTCTCCTTTCCTCCCCATTGACCTCTCCCCAGAGTCCACCAATTCCCACAAGTCCCTCTGGCAAAAGCCTGAAGCACCACCAGGAAGGCTTCCCTGTGGAATCAACCCATTATTGTCGCCATCTATTCATTTCTCCTGGAGGGGAGAGCTGGAGTCTGGGGACTCCATTAGGTTCATTAACCAGGTGACCCCTCCTACAGTCCACCAGCTCCTTGGAGCACCCATATAATTCTTGTTTCCAGAGACCCACCTACTATTGTCCAGCAGTTTCTAGCAACCCAGCTACAGTTGTCCAGCAGTTTCTAGAGACCCAGCTTCTGATGTCCAGCAGTTTCTGAAGATGCAACTACTGGTGCCCACAGTTTCCAGAGACCCAACCACTATTGCTCAGCAGTTTCCAGAGACCCCACTACAGTTGGTGGGCTCTTTCCAGAGACCCAGCTACAGTCCTACAGTCACCCATTGGTTCCACCCATGTCCTGTGAATCCCCCCACCCCCCAGAGACTATTGGAACCACTTTCTTAGCTGACTCTAACCACTTTCCCCTTGTTCACCTTGAACCTGGGCCATATCGATGCAGCGAATCTCAGATGCCTCGTTGTCTCTGAATCCTGCTTCACCTTGCTCATCAATAAATCTTCTCACACACCCAGCTATGGCAGCCCTGCACGAGGCGCTGGGGCACACGGTACCTGGTCCCCAGTGTCTGCCTCCACAGATGCTCAAAACAGTAAGAGAATAAAGACAGGAAAAAATGGCATCTTTGACTTCTGATCTGAGTGTGATTCTTAGTCACAAATGAGCAGGCATCTAAGGGAACGTTTGGCGGGGTGAGGGTGCAGAGTGTATACCACCACCCACATCACATGCACACACATGCCCGTGAAGGCACAACTGCACATACACACACACACACACACACACACACGCACACACGGGTACAGACCCATATACATGCATACACCCATGTCATGGTCACGTGTGGGCTGGGCACAGTCTTGGGAAGGCCATGATGGCACGGGAGGGCCCCTCAGTTGTTAGTCCACTCTGAGGGACATGGCCTGTTCCCACTTCCTGTCCCCACCCCAGCTTCCTCTCTACTGGACACCATGCATTCTCCCAACAAATTGCACCTACCCAGCTCTCCAGCCTTGTCCTTGGTCTGAACTTCCTTTCCTCCCCTAGCTAATGCCCTTCCAGACCCGGATTAGCTGCTGCTTTGCCCAGTACGTTTGCCTCGACTCTTCCCCTAAAGCGAGAGTATTCGCTTCTTGCTGGTGCTGTAACAAATCACCCCACACTCCGTGGCTTCAGACAACACAGTGTATTATCTCCCAGGTCAGGACGCCAGGCGCCTGAAGTGAGTTTCGTTGGCGAAGATCAGGGTGCTGCAGGGCGGCCCTCCCTCGGGGGCAGGAAGGGAGAATCCGTCTGGTTACCTTCGGCAGCTCCGAGGGGTCGCCCGCACTCCTTGGCTTGCGGCCCCTTCCTCCATCACCAAGGAGCGCTGCAGCTCCTTCCAATCCCGCTCTCTGACCGGGGACGTCTCCGTCCCTCCGTCTCTGAGCCTCCTGCCTCCCTCTGAGAAGGACCCTGGTGGTGACATGGGTCCACCTGCACCCGTGGCTCACCTTCCGATCTGCAGTCACCGGATGGCTCCAGGGAGTGGGACGTGGACACCGTTGGGGCTGTCATTCTGTCCTCAGCACCATGTCTGTTCCTGGGCTTCCTCTCTGTCAGTGGGCTCTCCCCTCTGCGGCTGGACCCCGATGTCCTGGGTGACCCTGGGAGCCACCCCGTGAAGCTGGCCCTTGGTGCCCAGGAGGACTGCCTGGAGCAGAGCTTGCTGTGCCTCCTTGTTGGGCCACGTGTCAGGCGTCTGTCAACCTGATGCTTTAGCATCCCTCTCACAGGTGTCCGTCGGGCACACCGTGTTCTGGGTGACCCTGTACGATGCCTGCGTCACTGGCACCAGCCTCCTGCCTCCCTCACTGCTGCCCCAATCCCTGAGCAGGAATCTTCTTTCTGCCTGGATGGTGTTGCTCAGTGGATAGAGCATCGGCCTGGAGACCAAAGGGTCCCAGGTTTGATTCTGGTCAAGGACACGCACCTTGGTTGCAGGCTTCTTTCCAGCCTGGTCCCTGGTCACGGCTCAAGTAGGAGACAACCAACCAATGTGTTTCTCCCACATCGATGTTTCTCTCTGCCTTTCCTTCTCTCTCCCACTCATTCTAAAAAATTAATGGAAAAATATCCTTGGGTGAGGAATAAAAATATATACACTGAGTGGCCAGATTGTTTTGATCTCTGAATGCATAATAATCTGGCCATACAGTGTATATCCTATATAATCCTGTATAATAAAAGGCTAATATGCAAAGTGTCCCCTCAAACAGGATTTAGACCAACAGGCAGGCAAGCCAACCGCCCATGTTCCCTCCCCCTGGCCAGGCAGGTCAGACCCCACCATGCACGAATTCATGCACTGAGCCATGCAGGTTTTAGACACACCATTTGAGGTGTGTCTGTGTGAGGCAACTAATCCATGTGTCTCACATCTCTCTCCCCCTCTCTCTCTCTCTCTCTCTCTCTCTTTCTCTCTCTCTCTCAAAATCAATGGAAAAGTTATCCTGGGGTGAGGATGGAAATAATGAGGAGGGGAGGGGGAGAGGTCTATGGGAGAAAAAAAGGAGACATATGTAAAACGTTAAACTATAAATAATTAAAAAAAAAACAATTTATATATGGAGTGGCCAGATTATTATGCTTTCAGAGTTCATATATAGGAATCCTCTTCCTGGGTCCCCCTTCACATACAACCCCTCCAATCCTGAGCCTTCACCCCGTCGCCCCTTTTGTGGGGCTCTCACACTCTGGGCCATGACCCCCCTGCCCTAATGACCCCCAGACCAGGGGCCAGGCAGCTGGCACCACCCCCTCCACCCCAGGGCCCACTGCAAGAATTAAAGCAGCCATTGCTAAGCCTGCTCACCCTGTCTCCCCAATTCCTCCTCCTGGAAACCACATCAAAGGCCCCCGGCCTGTGATCCTCACCCCCACCCCTCCCACATCTCCTCTCCTCTGACCAGTCTGGGGCTTCCCTGGTGCCCCTCCCCCGGGTACCATGAGTGACAGCTGTCTCCAGTGGCCCAGCATGTCCTTGCCTGCAGGCCTGGCTTCCCTTCACACTTCCTGTTGGTCATAGAGTTTAGGCCCCGCCCCCTGGGGAGCTGCAGGGACCCTCACCTGTTTCTTGGGCGGGAAATTGCCTTCCATCCGGGTAAGTCCTCGCCCCTGGGGGCCTGCTGGCTGTAAGGGTCACACTCCCTGATCACACACATTCTGGCAGCTGGTCTCTGCCCAGGGCAGGGCTGTGGCCCCCATGGTGGCTGTTACCCCAGAGGCACCCCCCACCTGTGCAGTGTACCCTCTTTTTTTGAATCTGCTCTTCCTCTTTGGTCCCTCCCCCCCATGGGGTCCAGTCCCCTGTGCTCTCCAATGCCACAGGTACGCCCACACTCCCTGACCTCCAGCTGGGGTCACTGACCTCGTGGGCAGATCTCAGGAATCAGGTACGTGAACACATCCCCCGCTTTCCTGGGTCCCCTCGTTCTTTTTTTCTTTTCTTTTTTAAATTCTTTATTGTTGAAAGTTTTACATATGTCTCCTTTCCCCCATCGATCTCCTCCCCCCCTCATTATTTCCATCCTCACTCCAGGGTAACTTTTCCATTGATTTTTAGAGAGAGAAAGGGAGGGAGGGAGGGAGGGAGGGAGGGAGGGAGGGAGGGAGGGAGAGAGAGAGAGAGAGAGAGAGAGAGAGAGAGAGAGAGAGAGAGAGAGAGAGATGGATGTGAGAGAGACACATGGATGGCTTGCCTCTCTCACAAACATATTCTGACCGAGTTGGGGATCGAACCTGCAACCCAGGCACGTGCCCTTGAGTCGAAGCTGACAGCCTTTGGTGCCCGGGCTGTGCTCTGACCACTGAGCAACATTGGCCAGGCTCCTCTGTTATTCCAAAGTCTGTTCAGGAACACCCCACTCAGGTGCTTAGCAAGGTTGCTGGAGGCCCCAGGGCTTGCAAAGAATGCTGCTGCCCAGCGCTGTCTCCATAAAGAAGCATTTGGGGTCTGAGGCACCCCGACCCCAGAGCAGGACCCGTAGCCAGGAGAGCTGGGAGACACAGCCCCCAAGGCGGAAAGTGCCCACATTCCTGCCTCTTATGGGGTCCAGCCAGCTGCCGCATCAGGTTACAAGGAGATGTTACCCTGAGAACCGCTAGGGGGCGCGCGTCTCGTGCGGATTAATTGTGCGGGTTTTTGCTGTTGCTGTTTGGATAGAAAAGGTAAGAAGAGGCCTGCATGGCTGTTGCAGGCATTAGACATGTTATTCTACATTAAAATAATATATATATTTTTAAAGTTCAACCAAGACTCAGCCAGCTGTTACAAAGGTGCAACTCTTTTATTCTGTCAAAATTGCATATTGAATCCTGGGCCAAACCCTCTGAGGCCTGTTCCAGTCCTTCCTCCCTTTTTTTCTTGCAGAAACCAGGGAGCAGGCATTCCCTAAGCGGCCAAAGGTCAGCGAGCTCAGGGGTGGGGGTGCAGACCCTCATGGGGGACCCAGTCCCTGCTCTGAGTCACAGACCATGCGCCTCAGTGAGGTGGGTCCCCAGCCTTCCGGCTGCATTTTATTTTATTAAAAAATATATATATATATAATTTGTAACAATTTCAGAGAGGAAGGGAGATGGACAGAGAGATAGAAACATCAATGATGCAAGCCTCCTGCACACCCAAAACCAGGGATTGATCCCCCAACCCTGGCATATGCCTTGTCAGGATTCAAGCCCGGGACTCTTCGGTCAGCAGGCCGATGCTCTATCCACTGAGCCAAACCAGTTAGGGCCTCACCCTACAGTTTTCATCTTTGTTTTCTTGGGGTTACATCCTGTATTGAATTTCTGAATCTCTCTCTCTTTGTCTCTCTCTGTCTCTCTCTCTGTCTCTCTCTCTGTCTCTCTCTCTCTCTCTCTCTCTCTCTCTCTCTCTCTCTCTCTCTCTCTCTCTCTCTCTCTCTGCCCTCCCACTCCCCCTCTCTCCTCCTCCTTATCCCCTTCCCTCCCTCTCTCTCCCCTCTCCTCCCCTACCCCTCCTCCCTCTCCCCTCCCTCCCGCTCTCTCACCCGTTACTTTTCACCTATGAGTTCCTTGGTCTGGGCCCTCCAGGGGGACAGAACCCACAGGTTCTGAGCTTGGAGCACAGAGTAAGGAGGGGACTGAGCACAGGATCAGCTCACCGGCTGTGGAAGCTGGAGTCCCCGCCGCCTTCTGCACGGAGACCCAGGGCGCCCGCGGTGCAGTTCAGCTGGAGTCCAAGGCCCGGAACCGGAACCGGCGGGAGAGAATCAGGAGCTCCAATGTCCATCCCCGGGCAGGGAGAGGGCAGGGGAGAGGGACAGGCGCCCCAGCTCAGGGAGACTGAGCCCTTCCTTCCCCTTTTGGGTCTGAGGGTGGGTGGTGCCGCCCACACTCGGAGGGCGGGTCCCACAGCCCGTTGATTGACAGCTCCTCCCCTCCAATGACCCCGCCCTCCCCCTGAGTGCAGACAGCTCACCAGGCCCAGGGCTGCCCCTTGAGTCCACGCAGTGCAGCCCCGTGGGGAGAGACACCCTTTGGGGGAAATGACAAATAAACCAAGCCCGGGGCCTGGCCCAGTGGGTGAGCATCGACCTAGGAACCAGGAGGTCAGGGTTCGATTCCTGGTCAGGGCACAGGCCAGGGTTGCTGGCTGGATCCCCAGTGGGGGGCGTGCAGAAGGTAGCTGATCCATGATTCTCTCTTATCATTGACGTTTCTATCTATCCTTCTATCTCCCTTCCTCTCTGAAGTCAAAACAAACTATAAAAATAAATAAAACAAAAACCTTTCCATCTCAGGGGTTACTAGAAGGAAGAGGAAGGGGTCAGAGAGAGGACAGACGAACAGACACCAAGGGCCTCCTCCTCCTCCTCCTCATTGTCCTTCTCCTCCTTCTCCTTCTCCATCTCTTTCTTCTTCTCCTTCTTTTTCTCTTCCTCTTCTACTGTCCTCCTCCTCCTTCGTCATTTTCTTATTTTCTTGGTGAATGCTCCCCTGAGGATATTTTCCCATTGATTTTCAGAGAACTGGAAGGGAAGGAGAGAGAGAGAAGAGAGAGAGAAACATGGATGCAAGAGAGACACTTGGACTAGCTGCCTCTGAAACTCGCCCTGACCAGGGATGGAACCTGCCACCCAGGGACCTGCCCTGGACTGGGAGTCCAAACCAAAACCCTTTGGTACCTTGGCTGATGCTCTAACCACTGAGAAACACCAGCTGGCGCTGATCTTTTCTTCTTGAACCTCCACCTGCCCACCTGGGGGACGCAGGGCCCAGGACAGGGCCATGGGGTGCAAGGACACCCCTGGCAGAAGGGCACCTGTCCTGCTTCTGGGCCATAAGAGGCCACATGGAGGCTGGGCCCCCTGTGGCCCTCTTGTGGGCAGGTGGAGAGGGGGGGACCTTGCATGGGACTCCCTCCAACCCCCCAGGTGTGTTGGGGGGAGGGTAGCTGAACACTAGGGAGCTGTAGGGGCCCGTGTGATGGGAGGAGAAATCCCACTTGGCCCGATGGGGCGGAGACTGATTCTCAGACACGCCCATCGGGGACAGATGCTGAGGACAGAATGACAGCCCCAACGGTGTCCACGTCCCACTCCCTGGAGCCATCCGGTGACTGCAGATTGGAAGGTGAGCCACGGGTGCAGGGTCCTTCTCAGAGGGAGGCAGGAGGCTCAGAGACGGAGGGACGGAGACGTCCCCGGTCAGAGAGCGGGATTGGAAGGAGCTGCAGCGCTCCTTGGTGATGGAGGAAGGGGCCGCAAGCCAAGGAGAGCGGGCGACCCCTCGGAGCTGCCGAAGGTAACCAGACGGATTCTCCCTTCCTGCCCCCGAGGGAGGGCCGCCCTGCAGCACCCTGATCTTCGCCAACGAAACTCACTTCAGGCGCCTGGCGTCCTGACCTGGGAGATAATACACTGTGTTGTCTGGAGCCAGGGAGTGTGGGGTGATTTGTTACAGCAGCAACAGGATGCAAATACTCTTGCTTTAATGGAAGAGTCCAGGCAAACGTACTGGGCAAAGCAGCAGCTAATCCGGGTCTGGAAGGGCATTAGCTAGGGGAGGAAAGGAAGTTCAGACCAAGGACAAGGCTGGAGAGCTGGGTAGGTGCAATTTGTTGGGAGAATGCATGGTGTCCAGTAGAGAGGAAGCTGGGGTGGGGACAGGAAGTGGGAGCAGGCCATGTCCCTCAGAGTGGACTAACAACTGAGGGGCCCTCCCGTGCCAGCATGGCCTTCCCAAGCCTGTGCCCAGCCCACACGTGACCATGACGTGGGTGTACGCATGTCTATGGGTCTGTACCCATGTGTGCGTGTGTGTGTGTGTGTGTGTGTGTGTGTGTGTGTGTGTGTGTATGTGCAGTTGTGCCTTCACGGGCATGTGTGTGCATGTGATGTGGGTGGTGGTATACACTCTGCACCCTCACCCCGCCAAACGTTCCCTTAGATGCCTGCTCATTTGTGACTAAGAACTACACTCAGATCAGAAGTCAAAGATGCCATTTTTTTCTGTCTTTATTCTCTTACTGTTTTGAGCATCTGTGGAGGCAGACACTGGGGACCGGGTACCGTGTGCCCCAGCGCCTCGTGCAGGGCTGCCATAGCTGGGTGTGTGAGAAGATTTATTGATGAGCAAGGTGAAGCAGGATCCAGAGACAACGAGGCATCTGAGATTCGCTGCATCGATATGGCCCAGGTCCAAGGTCAACAAGGGGAAAGTGGTTAGAGTCAGCTAAGAAAGTGGTTCCAACAGTCTCTGGGGGGTGGGGGGATTCACAGGACATGGGTGGAACCAATGGGTGACTGTAGGACTGTAGCTGGGTCTCTGGAAACAGCCCACCAACTGCAGTGGGGTCTCTGGAAACTGCTGAGCAACAGTGGTTGGGTCTCTGGAAACTGCTGGACAACTGTAGGTGGGTCTCTGGAAACAAGTATTATATGGGTGCTCTAAGGAGCTGGTGGACTGTAGGAGGGGCCACCTGGTTCATGAACCTCCTAGGTGTTGAATAGGCGTCCCCAGACTCCAGCTCTCCCCTCCAGGAGAAATGAATAGATGGCAACAATAATGGGGTGAATCCACAGGGAAGCCCCCCCTAATGGTGCTTCAGGCCTTTGGAAGAGGGACTTGTGTTGGGGGTGGGGGCCGCCGGGGAGAGGTCAATGGTGGGGGGAAAAGGAGACTTACGTAATACTTTAAACAATAAAGAAGTTAATTAAAAATAAAAAAGAATGGCGTGTGTCTGTAGGTGCAGAGGCCAGGGGTCCGAGTCAGCGTCTGGGGAGTTCTGCGTATGTGCTGGCAGCAGCTGTGGGCTCCACGGGCGGTGGGGACACAGCCTGGCCTGCTCTGAGGGTGAGGGCCCGCTGGTCCAGCTGGGCGTATGTCACCTCCTGGGCGTCTCCCGCAGCAGGGCTCTGAGGGAGAGAGCCAGGGTGGGTTAGTTGGGGGGGGGGGGGCAGAGGAGAGGGGGCTGTGGGAAGGACAGACTATGGCGGCCAGCTTCCACATGGCCCCTGTGGTCCCTCCTCCGGAATCTCCATTGGGGTGTTCCCTTCCCCACAGAATCAGAGTTGGGCTGTGTGACCCTAGAATACGACAGAAGGAGAGGGCATGCCACCTCCATGGAGAGGCCTCAAGACACATAGGATTTCTGCCCTTTCTCCCTCCCTGGGGCCCCACCCTCTGAGGGAGGCAGCTGCCACGGAGAACCCCACGTGTAGAACAGAGGCCTCCCACCACAGTCTAGGAGGGTGCCATCTTGCATGTGGACCTGCAGCCCCAGTCCAACCTTCAGATGAATGCAGCCCATCACCATGACAGCAGCCTGGTGAGAGTCTGTGATCCAGAACCACCTGGCAGATTCAATTTGCTTCCAATTTTGACCCAAGAAACTACTGAGATCCTTGTGTGAAGCTGTTCAAGCCCGGGCACTTTGTCCCTGGCTCGTATTGCTCAGTGATTAGAGCATTGGTTATAGAACGAAGGGTCATATATTCAATCCCGCCCTGGTGGAAGCCCGTGTGGGAGATAACCAGTTGATGTGTCTCTGTCACATCGATGTTTCTCTGTTTCTCCCTCTCCCTTTCCCCCTTCCACTCTTCTTGAAAAATCAATGAAAAAAAAATACCCTCAGATGAGCATTAAAAACACAAACAAAAACTTTGGGGTATGGCATGGTTACACAGAAATAGGTGACTAATCCAAGGACTTACTGGGCTCTGCAGCTCCCTCTTTTTCTTGGGAAGTGCATAGACTGTGGCCTCATCTGGGGGGAAGGGGAGAGGGGAAGAGAACAATGGTCAGTTCTTTGGGGTGAACCTTTGGAGGCAAATTTGCCTGAAACCTCATGGTTTTAGGTCTCAACCTCCAGCTGCAACATCCAGGCATCTTGCCCTCTCCCCATTGCTTCCTCAGTGGGTTCAATGCCACTCCCCTTTCCCCAAGCAATTCCCTCTCCTTATCCCTTACCTGGTGTGCTCTCTGTGATGTCAGCAGCCTGGATAAGCCTGATGAGAAAGAGAAAGAGAGTACAGGGGGTGGGGTTGGGTTGCTCTGAAGGCAGAGACCCGGGTGAGGGGTCCGTGGGTCATTCTCTCCGGGGTCCTCACCTTTCCTGGGGCCTCTGCTCCTCGCCTTTGCTGTGGAGGGGCTCTGAGGACAATCAGGGTGGGAATTAGGAGGGAGGCCATCTCCCCAGCACTCCACACAGCCTTCCCAGGTCACCCCACCCTGACCCTGAGACCTACTGTGTTTTCTCTGATGCTGACGGTGAACTAAGAAGAGGACCAGCAGGAGGACACAAAGGAGAAAGGCCACGGAGGTCCCAACAAGGATGTAAATGTCTGTGCTCGACAGGCCTGGAAGGGCAGTGAAGATAGAACCACAGTATCCGCAGGATGCATGTATGGAGCACCAACTGCAAACCATGCATATGCTGGGTGCCTGTCCTGTTCACACTGATGTATCTAATCTCCTACAAGCCTGGTAGTCCTGTGGCATGGGATCTGCCGGAAGCCAATCCCAGCATGTCATAATTACAAGAGTTTTATCAAAAGGTTGATGGAACTTGGGGACTCAACAAGGGCTGAGTCACATATGTTATCACCTGTGGGAATGGCTGAAAGGCACTTCCCCCAAACCTGAATAGGATGAGTGTTTGCTGCCAGACAGCTCAGGGCTTCTCAGTCTACATGTTATTGCCTCCTACTAACCATACGCCTGAACAGCCGTAGGCTGCTCCCCAATCTTATAAGATCTCCACCTTGCCTTAGGACCATGGTAGGCAAACTGCGGCTCACGAGCCACATGCGGCTCTTTGGCCCCTTGAGTGTGGCTCTTCCACACGTCTATTTTGAAGAAGTGGCGCTAGAAGAAGTTTAAGTTGAAAAATGTGGCTCTCCAAATAAATTTCAATGGTTGTACTGTTGATATTTGGCTCTGTTGACTTATGAGTTTTCCGACCACTGCCTTAGGACAATTTGTGTTAATAAAAAGCAAGGGGTCCTGAGTCAAGGAGAATCTCCTTTCTTCACCCAGGTTCCTCTGACCCCCAATGCTTTTCAAAATTATCTTTCATCTCTGGACTTCTACTTAATCTACACACAGCCTTTCTCCAGAATGCTGAACCCTTCTTAATGCTGGAACAAGAACTCTGGCAGGGACCCATCATCCTCATTTTACTAAACCAGGGTCCTGAGTGGAGACAGAGGGTGTCGACAGAGTTGAGGTATGACCAACGCCCAAACCCATTCTTTCCCTTCCCCATGAGGCACACTCCGGGTCCAGGTCCTCTGTCCCCATCACTTACCGCGACTCCTATTGTCCTGTGACTGGGTCCATGTGTCTCCTAGGAGTGAGGAACCAGGAGGACATGCGTCTAAGTCCCGAGCTGGACAGAGGAGGCTCTGAGTCTCTAGGCCCCCTGGGGAGGTCTCCTCACTCTGGGGCCCTCAGCTGCTCCCTCCAGGACTGTTCTGCCTGTGGGATTTTCTGAGGGGATGGAAATGCCCTCCATGTGTCCTGTCCAAATTAGTACCCGAGGGTCACTGTATCCACTGGCATTTAACTGAAATAAATTTAAAATCCAGATTCTCAGCCCAGGCCGGCGTGGCTCAGTGGTTGTCGATCTATGAACCAAGAGGTCACAGGTTTGAATCCCAGTCAGGGCACAGGCCCAGGCTGTGGGCTCCATCCCCAGTGTGGGGCGTGCAGGATGCAGCTGATCCTTGATGCTCTCTCATCAGGGATGTTTCATTCTCTCTCCTTTCTTTCTCTCTGAACTCTGAACTCAATAAAGATATATTTTTTAGAAAAGAGCCAGAGCCTCAGCTGCACTAGCCACATTTCCACGGAGGTGGGAGAGGCTCCCGCCACCACCACTGTCCTCACCAGCCATGAGCCTGGCTTCTGGCTGAACAGCACTCCCCTATGGGAGTTCACTGATCCCATGGGGGCAGCTCCTGTGTTGAGCGTCTGCCCCCTGGTGGTCAGTGCCCATTATACCGACCGGTTGTTCCACTGTTGGGTCTATTTGCATATTAGCCTTTTATTATATAGGATGTGCATTTCTTGTTGTTCATTCTAATTAATTCTCCCCACTGGAGTTGGGAGGATGGAGCCTGAGCCCCAGCACTGAGCCCCCCTCCGAAACCCCTCCAAGCTGAAGTCTCTACTCACCACCTGTGGAGTGGGTCTGTCTGTGTTGGGGGTGGAGCTGGGGGTGGAGCTGGGGGTGGAGCTGAGAACTGGGATGGCTCCTGTGAACAGGGCAGGGAAAGGGCTGATGTTCTGTGGGGGCTGCCTGGGTTCCTCCCACTCAGCCTGGCCCTCCTCCACCCTGAGTGTCCACCACCCACAGCCACGTCTGTCCGTCACTCAATCCCAGATGGCACCTGAGCTGGGGGGGTGGGAGGGCAGGAGAGGAGATGAGCCAGCAGTTCTTGCCTCCCAGAACCTCAGGGAGCAGCTCCCATGAGGCCTAGGACATGGGGGAGGAGGGTTCCTGATGGACCCTGAGTCCAGGAGGTATTGGGGACTGACCACACACAGGGAAGGTCAGCTTCATACCCCAAATCCCTCAGAGCACCGCCCGCCCTGGCCATGCCCCCCAGACTATGCACTTGCCCATGGAGGGCGGACCTCAGGGGACACATTGCCTGGGCCCCTCAGAGCCTGGCCAGGGGAAAGACTCAGGGCCCCTTGAAGGGGTCTGTGCCCACCTGGTGGCTGGGAGCTCAGGCCCCACCCAGCCCAGCAGGGACAGCTCTGTGTCCCCTCTGAGGCGGGGCTCAGGGTCCAGGCCACCGTGGTGTCCAGATGGGACCAGACTCCCGGGCCCTGAGCCAGGGGTGAAGGCCGAGGGTCCTGGGTGCAGAGGGAGGGGAGCCCCGGGGCTGGAGGTGAGCAGGAGGGCAGGGAGGCTGAGTACAGAGATGTGGCTGGGACAGGGTGCGGGGCCCTGGGACCCACCTGGGGGCTGAGTGGAGACGTCCTCCTGTGTCACCTGCAGGTCCAGGGGCTCACTGCGCTCAGACCAGCTGTATCCTTGTTTACAGAGGCAGCGGTAACTCCCGGCAGTGTCATCATCCACCTTGCTGATGAGGAATCTGGCCTGTGTCCCCTGGGAACCATCTTGAGGCTCACTTTTCTGATCATTGACTTCTTGGCTTCCATCCTTCTCCAGGCGGAATAACTCAGCCCCAGCTGGGCTCCGGCACACGAAGGTCACAGGCCATCCTCGGGGGATCACAGGGCCTGGCTCGGCCCTGAGGGAGGGCTTGGGCAGGGCCCCTGGGAGGAAGCAGAGCAGGATCTCAGTTTCCATCATGAGGAAATCTCCAACCTCACACTGCCTGTATTTCAAACGAGCACCTCCATGGTTTATACCAAACTGGCAAAGCTGTGCAGCCCTCACCACAGCCCAGGCTTAGACCATTTGCACCATCCCTCCCCCAGAGACCACGCCCTCTATCCCCTCAGGGGCTCATCACTCCAGTGACTTCCTCACACAACACAAGTTCTGGTGGCATCATGGGCTTTCCTCAGGGGGTCCTGGGAGAAGTCAGAGCAGCCTGAGGCCCCAGCCATGTCCCCCTCCCCACGGCCACTCTCCAGGGGGACAGACAGGGCTGGGAGGGGGGCAGAGGGTGAAGATGAGCGGGTCACTCGTGGGGACAGGGACGCTGTAGTCGGAGATGGTGGGAGTGACCTGGCTGGGTCTGAGGGCAGCTGGGGAGATTGTGGGGACCAATGGGGGATGCAGGGCCCCATGGTGGGTCTAGTGGGGGTGGAAGTGGACACCAGCCCAGACCTGCTCACAGGACCCCAGTGTGTGTGGACTCCCCTCTGACTGTGGGCATGTCCTCTGAGCAACATTTACTGAGGTTCCCTCTGCATTTCCCACCTCCCTCTCAGTCCATTTCCACTTCCTTGTGATGGAGGATCCTGAAACCCCAAGTGTCTAAATTGAGAGGGCAGGGGAAGAGAGGGCTCTGGCCCTGAAACAGGAAGAAGTCATCCCAGTCACCCAATGTCTGAGACAGAGCTGGCCACCCCTACCACTCATTCTCTTGGTCACCCATTCCCTCATTCCTTCAGCCACAGCTTAGCTCCCATCTCTCCCCTTTACAGACGTCTCCTTATGCCATTACCCCAGGCCTCAATTTGGGGGCTACCTCGGGGCTTGTGGAACCACCCAGGGGATGTCTGAGACCCTCCAAGTTAAAGAGAGAGGAGAGAGAAGACACTCAGTGTTAAAGGAAGAATTTCCCTCCATCCCTCCTTGCCTCTCTCTTTCCCTCCCTCCCTTCCTACCTCCCTCCTTCTCTCTCCATGTCCTTGCTGGACTCTCAGTTCATCTCAGGGTCTGACCACAACAGGCCATGGGTAAGCTACATCCAAAATAAATACCCCAAAGCACCGTCCCGCTCTGGTTAGGGACCCCGTGGACCACGAGACTTGCCCATGGAGGGCGGACTCCAGGGGACACATTGCCTGGGCCCCTCAGAGCCTGGCAAGGGGAAAGGGCAGGGCACCCCCACACTGAGGGGAAGGACTCAGGGCCCCTTGAAGGGGTCTGTGCCCACCTGGTGGCTGGAAACTCAGGCCCCACCCAGCCCAGCAGGGACAGCTCTGTGTCCCCTCTGAGGCAGGGCTCAGGGTCCAGGCCACCGTGGTGTCCAGAGGGGACCAGACTCCCGGGCCCTGAGCCAGGGGTGAAGCTGAGGGTGCTGTGTGCAGAGGGAGGAGAGCCCCGGGGCTGGGGATGAGCAGGAGGGCAGGAGCCCGAGGACAGAGACGTGGCTGGGACAGGGTGCGGGGCCCTGGGACTCACCCGAGGGTGGAGTGGAGACGTCCTCCTGTGTCACCTGCATCTGCAGGGGTTCACTGCGCTCTGACCAGTGGGGCCCTTGCTTGTAGAGGCAGCGGTAACTCCCAGCATCATGTTCCTTCACAGCGCGCAAGAGGAATCTGGTCTCTGTCCCCTGAGAATCATCTTGAGACACACTTTTCTGATAAGAGAGTACACGTCTTCCATCCTTCAACAGGTGGAATAACCTTGCCCCAGCTGGGCCCCGGCACACGAAGGTCACAGGCCGTCCCCGGGGGATCACAGGGCCTGGCTCGGCCCTGAGGGAGGGTTTGGGCAGGTTCCCTGGGAGGAAGCAGAGCAGGATCTCAGGCTCCATCGTGAGGAAATCTCCAACCTCACACAGCCTGTGTCTTAAGCGTGCACCTCCATGGTTTATACCAAACTGGCAGAGCTGTGCAGCCCTCACCCCAGCTCATTTGCACCCTCCCTTCCAAGGGACCTGCCCCCCCCTCCCCCACCAGGGGACTCAGTTCTCATCCCTCCAGTGACTGCCCGATGTGACACGAGAACCCGAGTCTGGTGACATCCTGGGCTTTTCTCAGGGGGACACGGGAGGAGTCCGAGCAACCTGAGGCCCTGGTCACATGCCCCTCTCCACAGCCACTCTCCAGGGCTGGGAGGGAGGCAGGGCTGGGAGGGGAGGCGGGAGTCTGACAGGGTGTTTGTGAGTGTCCCCAGCTTGGCTCAGCCAAATGGGAGCGTCTGCAATGGGCTCCAAGGACAGAGTCTGATCCCACAATGCCCCGGGGTCTGCTTCTTGGTGATTCCAGGAGACTCCAATGCAAAGCCCTCTCTCAATGTCACCCAAATTAGCCCACTTCACTCCTCCTGCTGGGCCGGGTCTGCAGGCAGATGGGGGAGATTGTGGGGACCAATGCAGGGCCCCATGGGAAGTCTCGTGGGTTTGGGGTAGAGCTCCAGTCCAGACCTGCTCAAAGGACCCCAGTTGTGAACACACCCCCGACCCGTGACTGCAGGGCATGTCCTCTGAGCAGCACTCACTGAGGTTCCCTCTGCATTCCCCACCTCCCTCTCAGCCCATTTCCACTTCCTTGTGATGGAGGCTCCTGAAACCCCACGTGTATAAACTGGGCTGGGAGGGGAAGAGAGGGCTCTGACCCTGAAACAGGAAGAAGGCATTCCAGTTACCCAAACCCTGAGAGACAGAGCTGGCCACCCCCACCACTCATTCCCTCGTTCCTTCAGCCACAGCTCAGCTTCTGTCTCCCCTTCACAGACGCCTCCTTGTGCCTTTGGCACCACGAACAGGAGAAACACAGGAGGACCCCTGCCTCCTTAGGCGGAAGGGGAAAGGAAGCACAGGGGCTGAGGGGGAGTGTGAAACCCGCAGCCACAAGCTGTGACACTGGCCCAGGGCTGAGTGTGGGAGGCTAGGGATCAGGCAAGCAGAGCTGACCTCTCAGAGGAAGAGCTGGGAGGCCCTGAGCTGATACCAGAGGGTCAGGGGGGGGATGAGCCAAGCCCAGCACTGGAGCCCTCAGCCTGGGAGGGGGTCATGGTAGAGACAGAACATGGAGTTTGTGGAAGTGACAGGAAGGCTGGGTTTCTGAAGATCACTTAGCCAGAGGGCGTGAGGACAGACAGATGCAGACAAGGAGAGAGGCTCAGGCTCATTCCAGCTGAAGACACACCAGGAGAGGACTCTAAGGAAAATCAATGTTTTGCCTGAACATGAAACATGTGTGAAAAACTCCATTTAAAAAGGGGACTCACCCTCCTGCGTGTGGATCATCTGGCCCAGACAGAGCACTGCAAGGGAAGGGCTGGTGAGGACAATGCCCAGGACCCGGGTCCTCCCCGGGCTGCAATCAGGGGGCCTTCCTGGAGGCAGTGGGCCCGGCCTGGAGAATCTCTCAGGCTCCCTCCTCAGCATCCCCTCTGAGCACAATCCTGCTTCCTGCTCTGGGTTTCCAGACCAACCCCCACTCCCCTCTTCCAATCGGGTCCTCAGTCAGAACCCTGTCCCCATGTCCCGGCCCCTGCCTCTAGGACTGACCCTCCCAGGGTCACACTTAGGTCAGGGCCAGAGCTGAGGGGCCAGCACCCCAGGAGGGATCAGGAGTCTCCTGGGCTAAGGTCAGACTGAGCAGGGATGGAGATGCCTACCCTAGCCACCACCCATCCAGGACTCACCGAGGCCCAGGAGGGTGAAGGGCCGGGGCCCCATGGCCAGCTTCTCCCCGTCTTCTCTGTCCTTGTCCACACGGAGGAGATGTGTCTGCCTGGAGGAGGAAGGACAGGGCCCTGCAGGTCAGTGAATGTGCAGGGCGGCCTTAAAGGGGCCGGGTCATGTGGCTCGTTTCCGTGGTTTCTCATGGAGGGAGGCGGGGTGCTCCCAGCCCCAAACCCAGTTTCCCCTTTGTGGGTCCAGAAAGGCCTGGGTGATACTCATATGAAAAACAACATTTCACATATGTCCACACAGCAGTTTTTAGCGACATATGTCCTAACCAGGCTCAATCCATGATATCAAACCACATGGTATTAATTCACCAGCAATAGCCAGACACAGATGATGATAGATAAATAGATAGATAGATAGTCCCTAGATGGATCCTACATAACTGGATCCTCAGATACCTAGATGTATAAGTTGTTACACAGATACACAAATTGATAGTTACATAGATAAATGCATAGATGCAAACATGGATATAGAGATAGTTACAAAGATACTTAATTACCTAAACACATACTGGGATACGTACATAGCTATGCAGATTGTAAGACACATAATTATAGAAATACATAGAGTTGAATAGATATTTAGATAGATATAGAGATAGTTATGTAAATACATGGATACTTTAGATACATAGTTACACAGATTGATAGATACATAGAAAATTAGACGCATAGTTACATAGATAGATATACTGATACAATGATAGTTATATAAATAGATACTAAGATAAATTTTACATATATAGATATATACATAAGTGACTAGATAGATACATAGTTACATAAATAGATAGATGAATAGTTACATAGATAAGTATATAGATACAAAGATAGATACTTATATACATAGATATGTAGATAAATTGTTACATATATAGATAGACACATAAATGATTATATAGATACATAGTTACATAGGTAGATATATGGATACAATGATAAATACTGAGATACATAGAATCATAGTAGACAGTACGTGCTGAGAAACTTCCTGTCTTGCCCTCTGGCCCTCACAGGCTGACTGTCCCCAAACCACACATTTCCTGATGCAAAGGCTTCAGCTTCTCAGTGCACACAGGAGACCATAGAACTCTCCTGACACCTCCACGCGGTTCCTGGGGCAGCATAGAGCTGAGGGGGACCCTGGAGGGACTCAGCCTGCCCTCCCCGCCTCCCCCCCACCCATGTACCCAGGGCAGGCGGTCCCCAGCTCAGGCTCTGAGCCACTGTCTCTGTGGCCTTTGTGCTCAGTGAGACCCTGGCCTGCCAGCTGCCTCTGGTTATGTCACACCGAACGCCCCCATGTCCACAGGAGTGAATGCACTGAAGACACCGTCATGTGGGCAGGACTTCCGGGAAAGTTGAGTGTGCAGAGAGCCATAGGGGCCTGGGCGGGTGGCCAGATTCTGGTCTGGATGGTGGTGTGTGTCCATGGGTCCATTGAGGGCCCAGAACACAGACACTGTGCCTAGGGAAGGTGGTTCCATAGACTCTTCCCCCTCACAACACTGAGGCCCATCCTTGTGACCTCCCAGGGGAGGGGCCTTCCACCACCAGGAGGAGCAGACAGAGGAGAGTCAGGACCTGGAGGGAAAGGCTGAGACTCTCAGGTCCCAGCTCAGGGATGGCTGTGAGGCCGCAGCCCCAGGCAGGCCCCAGGCAGAGCTGGGCCACCAGGAGGGCAAAGGTGGGCGAGGGGAGGAAGGGGAACTTCTGTAATAGTGTCAACAAGACAGACAAGATCCTCAGAAGGGGGTAGGTGTACAGTTCTGCTGCGGTCTTTTCTGCACCAACAAGGGTTCAGGAATCTGGAGAAGGGCTGTGCATAATTGAACTAAAGAGACCAGAGAAGAAATAGGAATTTGGAAGGCATTTTGAAGGGCCAGACAGAAACTTGGTTCTAGTGACTTAGCTCCCTAAGTCTCCAAGACCCCCTGGGTTTTTATTCCCACATTTTTCCCTATAGCAATGCAGATATATAAATCAAAGGTAAAGTTTGGTAAACAGTAAAGGATTATCAGGTTGGGGGAACTGCCCTCAGCTGTCTGGCAGCAGCAATAATAAGGCAAAACTTCAGCCCTGCTGTAGCTGTCCATCAGCCTTCTGATAAACTTCTCCTCTTTATTGTGCTAACTTCTACAATTTGCAAACAGCATATCCCCCTTTTTGTTTTAATAATTTTAGAAATCAATCACATTCGTGTCCCTTTAAATTGCTTCCTGGTATCAAGGGAATCTTTCTGCATTAAGCTCCTTTCTGGGCCAACAGTTCTTTGATTCCCCTTCCCAATCACTGTCCAACAGATTTTCATGGGTTCCGCTCTCAGTCACTGTCCCCTGTGATATGACAGCAGTGATATTCCAGTTCTGGATGGTGGACAAACAGTGATCAATGGCAATGCAGGTCCGACTTGTTTGGCTTGTTCCTGGGCAGCCTGCACCGAGGCACAGCTGCTGACCGCTGGCACGGCAAGGCATCCTCACCATCCTCCATCTCTGGACTGTTTCTCCTCTGTCTCCTCGGCCTGTTGCTTGGGGCCACCACCATCTGTGCCTGGAGTCGTCTGGTCAGTTCCTCTCTTGGATCCATTGTGGCAGGAATCCACATGGGCTTGAGGGAGTTTTCTGGAAATAGATGAGCATATTCTCGACCAAAGGTTAATAAAGGAATCCTTTCTATAAACTGGACTCAGGATCTTTTCGTGTTTCCAAAACATTTTCCTTTGGCTTATTCTGATAGCACGTGTAATTCCATGGGAGGTTTGCCGTTAGCATTACAAGTGAAACATCTCAAAGTAAAAACATTGAAAGTAATCAAGGCTTGATGTAATTTTCTTACTCCACTATCCCCCCTTTCTCTGTTTAAATAATATCAAGTCCTATCTCCCCGAATCTCCAGAACCCCAGCTTTTTATTCCCACGCCAGCAGCCCAGTGCATGAAAATTCATGTACTGGTGAGCTGTGGTCTAGGGATATATATTGGCTTCAAAACTACTCTCTGTCACCCCCTGTGGCCACCTGATTTATTATCTCAATTGTTACTGCCCCCTCTGACATTCCAGGAGCCCTCAGGTGCAGGAGGCAACTCGGCAATCAGGGGAATGACACCTCTGCTGCTGCCACTGCCGGCAGCGCAAGCCTCAGCCAGCCCTGGGTGGCTGGGAAGCCACTGTCCAAGGCTTGCCTGCACCACAGGCTGGCTCTGGGCTGCTGGGTGCTGAGGGAATTGAGGGACTCTGGAGGCAGGCACGTGGAGCAGCCCAGCAGGACTGAGAGGACTTGGTGCAGCCATCTTGTGGCTTTGGGCACCGCCATCTTTGAGCACTCAATTAGCATATTCCCTCCTTATTGGCTGTGGGTCCTATCATTTTTTTTTTTTGCAAAGGCATGAGGGTCAATTAGCATATTCTATCTTTATTAGGCAGGATTTTGCCCTATAGCAAAGCAGATATACATATCAAAGGTAAGGTTTGGTGAACAGTAAAGGATTATCGGGTTGGGGGAACTGCCCTAAGCTATCTGGCAGTAGGCAATAATAAAGCAAATCTTCAGCCCTGCTGTAGCTATCCATCAGCCTTCTGATGAACTTCTCACAGTTATTATGCTAACTACTAGAATTTGGTTTTAGCAGTATTCAATGGCATTTTGTACATTCACCATCTTGTGAAACCATTACCTCTACTTCATTCTAAATTATTATCATCACTCCACCCCCAAAGATACTGTGTGCGCACTGTTTCCGTGCAGGTCTCTCCCAGGCACGGGACCAACAGGACTTGTATATACAGAGAGATGCCTGTGGCAGGGTTGGCTCACACAATTCAGGAGTCTGGCAAGGCCAAAATGTGCAGGGAGGGCTGATGGCAGGAGACCAGGAGAGCTGCTGTTGCCCTGCAAGCCCCAGGGAGTCGGCCGGCGGCGTCCAGGGGTCCGTCCTGTTCTCTTCAGCCGATGCGAGGAGGCCTACCCATATGGTGGAGGGCAGTTTGCGTTCCTCCCATGACATAGCGGCCCTGGGGGGCTGGGTTGGGGATCGTGGTGATACCCACAACAGCGAGCTGAGGTTTCATCCCCCCTCCCAGCCCATACGGCATCTCACACACGCAGAGAATGAAGAAATCTCACACCAGAAGATTGAAGCCAAAGTGTGGAAACTTTATTGCAAGCAGATTAAACTTTATTGCCTGCACCACAGGCTGGCCCTGGGCTGCTGGGTGCTGAGGGAATTGGGGGACTCTGGAGGCAGGCATGTGGAGCAGCCCAGCAGGACTGAGGAGGGACAGTCCCACATGGGGAGGGACTCAGTCGTGGTTGTCCCTGAAGCCTGGGGTCTAGGGGTACCTATATATTTGCTACAAACCTGCTCTCTATCGCCCTCTGTGGCCACCTCATGGATTCTCTCCATTGTTGTTGCCCAGAAGCAGACCTGAACCTTCTGGGTCCCTCTGCCTCAGCTCACCTGATTGTGGCAGCCCCTCCCTAGTTCCCCTGCTTCCCCTCTGAGCCTAAAATCATCCTGTTATTTCTGTGAGGCTGGCTTCCGCAGTCAGGGTGGCTCGGGTGGCTAGGTCTGCTCTGCCTACATTCCACCGGCCTTTGTCTCCCCTGGACCCGGCCTTGTCTGCCTGCTGGTCAATCAAGCTGACTCCTCTCAGTGGTCCTGGGAAGAGGAGGGGTTGAGGCCACGCATCCTAACCCACGTGGGCCTGGGTGTTCTTGTCCTTGAACAACAGCGGGGGCAGACCTGGGTGTCCTGGGCTCTAGCGTGAACCGTGGGGCACTCAGGGAGCTCCCTGCTGGCGCCCTGGGGTCCCCTCTCTCTCTGGGGGGAGCGGTTCCTTGTGGTTACTCCTGTGGTCGCTGTGGGGCTCTGCGCTGGCTGAGCCCAGCTTCCACCAGAATCGCCAGCAGGATCAGCAGGACCACGCCCGCCAGGCCCAGGCGGATGCTGTTCTCCACACTGTAGTTCCGGGAGGCGGGGCC